AAAAAACGTTTACTCGTTTAAATGGCAAGAAGCTATGAAAGTTGAAATGAATTCGATGAGTACCAACGATGTTTGGGACTTAGAAGTAATTCCTAATGGAGCCAAAACAGTAGGCTATTAATGGGTCTACAAGATAAAATGTGACTCCAAAGGGAATGTAGAAAGATATAAAGCACGACTTGTGGCAATATGCTTTAAGCAAAGAGAATGAATAGATTACAATGAGAGTTTTCTCTCCAGTCTTATGTAGAGATTCTTTTAAAATTATAATGGTGTTAATGGCACATTACGATTTAGAGTTACATCAGATGGATGTAAAGACGACATTCCTCAACGGGATTTATATGGAAACAATTACATGGCACAACCCAAAAGGTTTTGTCGTGGAAGAAAAGAACATATGGGATACCGCATGTAGAAATTCATTTATGGGTTAAAAGTAAGTCTCTAGACAATAGTATTTGAAGTTGATGAAACAATAATAAGAAAGTTTGGGTTTAAAGAAAATGAGAAGGACAATAGCATTTATGTGAAGTTCAAGAAAGGAAAATTTATTTTCCACATCCTGTGAATAGATGACATTCTACTCACTTGTAGTGATGTTAATCTGTCATCGGAGAAGAAGTTTTGTCCCCAAATTTCAATGTGAATGATCTTGGTGAAACGTCATTGGTTCTAGGAATCAAAATTCACCAAGATAGAAGAAAAATGAGGTATTAGGACTATCGCAAAGGCATACTTAGAAAAGATTCTAAAGATGTAAAGTATGCATGCGAGTAAACCTATGCCTGCTCCTATAGTCAAGGGTAATAGATTTGAGAACTCTAGGTGTTCCAGGAACCGATATGAGATCGATCAAATGAACATGGTTCCATATGCTTCAGCTATTGGAAGCTTGATGAGTGTATAAGTACAAGTAAGAACTTATCCTGACGTAGTTTATGTATCTAGGATATTTTGGCAGAAGTTCAGTTCAGATATAGATCACTGAAATTGAGTTGAGAATGTCTTGTAATTTTGCAAAGTATCATAGGCCTCATGCTGAGTAAGAAAGAATAAGTACTCTCAAATAGTTGAGGGTACAAAAGTTAAGTCTTGGCGAGATGTGTAGTGAAATCCACAGCAGTTGCTAACACTCGCAGTTGAAGTATTATTATGAAAAAGCTCCAAAGAAACAGTTATGGTGTCATTAGTGATGCATACCATGATATAGCTTGACATGAGGCTTAAGGAATTAGCAAAAGTGAGGTTAAGGGAATTTGTACCCAGATTTAATAATGGTAGACAACAGCAATAACTATTTAAAGTAAGTTAACTCCTAAGACAACAAGTCAAGTGTGCTGCCAAACACATTGATACTAAGGTATATGTTGTAAAGGAGAAAATCCAGAATCATTTTAAAAGCATTGAGCACATAAGTACCGAGTAAGTACTTGCGGATCTGCTTGGGTTTATGAGAAAGCCTATGATTTCTGGATACTAAGGGCCTAGTTGAGTATCTGTTTCAAAACAGAGAGGTGCATTGTAGCTGTTAAGTCTAATGGCAACTTACTGTGACGATGAGGCACGCTCTATGTACTGATCTGTGATGGAATGGGAACAAGATAAAGTAAGTAAGTTAAGTTTAAGTCATAAGGTGAGATCAAGGGAGAGAATGTTAGTTTGATCTCCACCAATTGGCCCAACGGTCAATTGGGCCCTTGGATCCGCGCCTTGATCGGGGCGCCCAACCGCTCCATGGTTGGTGGCCTCCCATCGCACAACATGATAAAAGGGAGGTAGGGGCCGGGGCACAAAGTATGAGGTTGACATGAACCGCCGTAACCAACCTACAAACAAACCCTAACCTGATCTAAAGAGAACGTGCTGCCAGCGACGGGAAGCCACCACCGACTTCACCGTCGTCTCTGCATCGCCACCGCTGCGCCGGACTTCACCGCCCTCACAGCATCACCGACATCGCCATGGACGGCTCCAGCTCCACCGCCAAACCCTCCGATGTCCGGTGATGTCTCACCTCTCACCCTTCCCTCTCTGTCTCTCTATAGTTCTATATGTACTAAGATCCACTACATCTTTTATCCCGAATAGAACCATTCTGCCGGCTAGATCTATGCTCTTAATGATCCTATAAATAAGTCCAACTTAGCATTTTGCTTAGACGAGGGGGAGAGAAGAGAAGGAAAGAGAAGATCTAACTCTTGCTTCCATGGTAGCCTTAGATAGATTATGAGGTTTGTTCATGGGGCTCACCCACACGCCCAAGTGTGTTATCCCTCTTTGTCACTTGCTTTCTTTTTTTCTCGCAACGACTAAAACAACAGTGTGCAGACAAGCGTGCATGGAAGGAGCGGCGCACAGCGATGGAGGACTAGCGTGGATGGCACAAAGGATGGTGGTGGCCCAGCTTGAAGGGGCATGCACGGCGGTGGTGGTTCAACGTGGATGGCACAAACAGGCGGTGGTAGCCCGACACGGAGCGGAGCTAACGATGCCCAGTGTAGAGGGAGGTACACAATGGTGGCGATCAGCATGGAGGGGCATGGGCGGTGTTGGTGTCCCCGCAGCGAAGGACGCAGACGGTGGTTCAGTGCGGATGGCGACAGCGAGGGCTGGTTAGGGGGCATGCTGCTCATAACGAGGATGAAGGTGGTGGGAAGAAGAAAGATGTAAGGGCCACTGTAGGGTGCTGTAGGGTTATATTATTGAAGAAGTTGTCTGATGTGTTGTCTTTTAAATGATGTGGCAAACTATAAGCTAGTAGTCGACTGAACCTAGGGGTGGATAATGTGGCAACTACACTTTGGTTCGAGCTTTTTTCGAACTTGAAGTAATTTTATTTGTCGTGGTCTCCTAAATTATTTGAGACATGAGCCGAAGTCAAAAGTCACTCAAAATCAACTCATTTTTATTTTAAGGTAAAATATCAATTAGAGATTTTTGGCATGAGCCACCGAGTCAGCTTGACGAGTTTTTTTCCAACTCTAACTGAACCATTGGAGCTGCCCTTATTGTTTCTTCATACCCTTATATATGACTCAACCGTTGTCATGCTTAGCGGTGGCCGGATCGATTCTTACTCTTCTTCTCCGTCTGAATTGTCAAGTTGTTTCGACACATGACATGTTTGTTTACTTGTTATTTTTGTAGTTTCTTTTCGACTGCCTTACTATGACTTTCTAGGTTGTTGTGTTTTTTATGCTATATCAATAGAAACACACGCCGGTTGTTATTCTTTAAGAAAATGTTCTACTACATAGAGGTAGGCTTGGTGTCACTTTTATTATATTAAAAACATATTACCACAAAATTCAAAGTCAAAACTTTGCAGAGCAGGGCATAAATTCTTTTGTGTTGTTGCCTTTTTATGTAGCAGTTCTGTTTTCAGTTTATGGAATGCTTGTGTACACCAGGTCCACGGCAGGGCACCACGAATTCTAAGGCTGGCAAACAAAGGGAGTAGCAAAGGCTAATACAAAAGGCAATAGAATGATTACTTGTTGAGCTGGCCCTACTTTATTATGTCTTTCTTTGCTGTTCTTGCTCCCATATAGATTTTCCCCCAGACAATATTCTTTAAAGATCAAGTTTCATTTGTAAGAAGATATATAGAAGTGTACTCTGATTATTTCTTTTTTGAGAATTAGTGTACTCTGATTACACACACACGATTTGTTCAAGCACACACAGGCAGGAATGGATATCCACGTCAATGTATTCACTACACATAAAAATGATGAAATATGAAGGGCTACTGGAAAACACAGAGAGTTTCCGGTATAATACAAGAAAAAAGAGAGTTGATGCGTGCTAACAATTTTTCCCTGTGTATTTTGACTTGGCGAGTGGCGGCTACAGTGTCTGCAGTGAAGTGCAGTGTCATTGGGGATTGAATGATAAAGAGCACGCCGCACGTGGAGTCTGAGCCACTGACTGCCTCTTCACAGTTTAAAGATTTTCCTTTTGCCCGAAAAAAAGAATAAAAGAGAAAGATCGGAGCTGGAAAAAAGAAACACATTTCAAACAGAGAAAAAGGACCGGGGAGAAAAATTAGGAGACTGAGGGGTGCTCTCAAAAGCAGCCAATCCACAAAGGAAGCAATGCTTTCCATTTGCCTGAGTTAGTTCAGCGGCTTCGTGAGAAAGAGAGAGAATAGTACGTGGCGTGGCATTCTTTTGCTGGTTAAATGGGAGATTCGTCTGTTAGCATCAGGAGAACATACCACGTTACGTTCCTGCCACAGTACTGATGCACACTGTGCATGGGATTAGCTAGCTAGGTGAACCTAATAATTTCCCCTCCCCGCTCCCTGGCTATAGCTGTTCCTCTCTCCTCCGCCTTGCTTATCCTCCTCTCGCTCACTGACTCACCGGTCTCCCGTCCATGTACACTCATGTAGCAGCAGACTACTAGCGCGGCCTCTTTCCCTCTCTTTCTCTCTTTCTCTCTTTCTCCAGCTTCTCTCTCTCCCCGCTCTCTCCGAGCACCAAGGATTCCATTTAATCCGTCCATCTCTCTCCTCAAGCCCTACAAAGTACACCGCCATCCTCTTCCAGCCGCCAGCTCCCCTTCTCCCCCCTGGCCTTCTCCTAGCTAGGGTCATCTGCTCCTGCTTCCTCTCTCTCTCTCAACAACAACCCCGGCCTGAAATCACAGATGAACCACATTAAAAGGCCATAAAATAGTGTGTGTGATCTCCCACACGCACACACAAACAACACAAGCTTATCATATGAGCAAGGATTCTTTCCAACCTACAATCTTCTTTCCCTGATAGCTAGCCAGCCAGCTCTTTCTTGGACTCTCTCTCTACCGCCACATCCACCTAACCTTCTCGGAGCTAGACCCACAGCAAGAGAGAAGAGGCTGGAGACATCAAATCCGTTCCTCCACTCTCTTCCAAACAACTAAACCACTCCATTTACCCGGCCGGCTAGAAAACATACACGCCAAGATACATACTTGTATCGCTGTGTATATATACCATGGCTTAATTGACCATGGACGTCGCCGGTGACGGCGGAGGCGGCCGCCGCCCCAACTTCCCTCTGCAGCTCCTTGAGAAGAAAGAGGAGCAGCCGTGCTCCAGTTCGGCTGCGGTGGGCACGTCGGCGGGAGGCAACGGGAATGGATCGGGGGCCGGAGGTGAGGTGCAGGTGCGGAAGGCGGCACCCAAGCGGAGCTCCACCAAGGACCGGCACACCAAGGTGGAAGGCAGGGGCCGTCGCATCCGGATGCCAGCGCTGTGTGCGGCCCGGGTGTTCCAGCTGACGCGAGAGCTCGGGCACAAGACGGACGGCGAGACCATCGAGTGGCTGCTGCAGCAGGCGGAGCCGGCGGTGATCGCGGCCACCGGCACCGGCACCATCCCGGCCAACTTCACCTCCCTCAACATCTCCTCCGCTCCTCGGGCTCCTCGTTCTCCGCCCCGGCCCACCTCCGCGCCGCCTTGCCTAGCCCCGCCGCCGCCGCCCGGTTTGGCCGTGCTGACGCGTGGGACCGGGTTGTCGGCCTTGGCTTCCCTTCCGATGGCCCAGCCTCGTCGTCGTCGTCGCCGTCCCCCTTGTTGCTTAACTTCCACTCCGGCAGCGTCGGTCTTGACGTGCAGCCGTCGCCGTCTGCCGCCGCCGCAGCCGCCGATATGTCGAGGAAGAGGCGGTGGGAACAAGAAATGCAGCAACAGCAGCAGCAGCAGCAGCAGCAGGCGCAGCAATATCAGCAGCAGATGGCGGGGTACACGCAGAGCCAAATGCCGGGCACCGTGTGGATGGTTCCGAGCAACAACACGCAGGGCGGTGGTGCACCTTCCAGCGGTGGCAGTGGCGGCAGCGGCGCAGGCAGCGGCGAGTCCATCTGGACGTTCCCGCAGATGGGCAGCGCCGGCGCCGCGGCTGCCGTGTACCGGGGCAGCGTACCGAGCGGGCTACATTTCATGAACTTCCCTGCACCGGTGGCGCTGCTTCCAGGGCAGCAACTGGGGCTCGGCCCCGTGGGTGGCAGCGGCGGCGGAGGCGGAGGCGAGGGGCACATGGGGATCCTCGCCGCCCTCAATGCGTACCGGACACAGGCGGCAGCGGATCCCGCGGCCAGTCAGGGCGGAGGAGGAGGTGGAGGAGGCGGGTCTGGCAAGCAGCAGCAGCACGGTGGCGGCCGCGGCGACCGGCATGAGAGCATGAGCACCAGCGACTCGTAGCCGACGGGGGGTCTCCGTTTCTCCGAGGATCGCATGCATCGCTCTGGTGTGGCTTTGATCTGTTCTTTGTCTTGGTTTCATTTTTTTCCTTTCCTTTTTGTGGTTTCCTTCCTCTCTCATCCAAGCTAGAGTCACCCCCGCGAGGATTACACTTATAGCTGCACTCCATGGCATGCGGTACGATCAGCCATCATCCTTACGTGAGCTGTGTGTGCTTGTGGCCTGTAAGTGAGCGAGCGAGGTGTGTCTCTCTCATGGGAAGAGCCGAAGAGGAGGAGGGAAACGCAGCAGCAGCATCAGAGAGAGATTGTTCATTTTGTTCTTTAGTTTTAGGGTTTGCATTGATCAAGTGCGAGCAGAGGAGATTTTTATCAAGCATGGCATCATTCATCTGCCGTGACGGTTCAAAAATTTTCATCCATGCAACATTGTTCAAGTAGTTCGATCAGAGCCACTCTCTAACTCTTCCATTTTGCAGACTTCAGGAGTTCGTTGCTTGATACTAATATATATACTACTACATACTATTTTTCACTAGTAACAAATTAAGGTTGGAGCGTAGTTTCATCAACTACCGCTAGGGTTTTTGATCCGGCGGCGACCGGTTCCTTTCGTTTTCTGCTACATATGTGTGCCATCTTAAATTAGTCTGATCGATCGTGGAATAGAAATGTGCAGAGGTTGGTTGGGGGCGTACAAACATGTCCCAAAACTAGTCATTAGCCAGGCGGACGCCGATGTGCGATCCATTATATTCCTTCGGAAATGAGTTGTCGTAGGCGACGAGCTGAGCCAGCGCGGCTGTACAGTCCAGCTGCGCGGGCGTAGGTTTTTGTCATCTGATGAGCCAACAATCTGCCGGGGCGCCAAGCTAGCAACAACCAACCGTCGCCGATCGATCGAGGACCACAAAACCACAACCAGGGGGACGGGCGCGCGGGAGAGAGAGAGAGACAACAGGGCGAGACGCCGAGACCGCGAGCCACAACGGAAGAGACATCGATCGCGCGGATCGGAGACCGACGCGCGCTCTGGCGCGGACTCGAGTCCACCAACAGCGCCGCCGACGACGAGAGGCGACGCCCGCGCGCGCACCGTAGAATTTTTTATTTGGTATATATAAAAGGTTGGACCGTGTCTGTCAATGATTTCACACACGCGCGCGCGTTATGGCGCGGTCTCCCCCTCCGGGCTCCGGCGCCCGGGCAGGGGCAGGCGGGCAGCCAGCTCGCACCAACCGCGCCATGCCAGATGCCCACAAGGCGCAAAGGCGCGGAGCAGAGCCTCGTGCCGCTACAGCCACAGGCACAGGCCCCGGCCCGCACGGCTACAGCGGCAGCGGGAAGAGCAGGCGGGCACTGATGTGCCCGGCCTTGTTGCCGGCCGGCTGGCCACCTCTCCCACGCACTGCATGCCCTCTCTCGGCGCTCCGGGCGGCGTGGATGCGTCGTCGTCATCGATCTCGACCCGGCCGACCCCCTGGCCTGCGCGCAGATCACGAGCGACGACCGGGCAGCGGCCAGTGGCCGTGCCAATGCCAACTAGCCACCCATATAAAGGAAGCGAGCAGGAAGCTAGGCAGGGGCCGCGCGTGTACGTACATGGTCCTGCGCTGCGCTCCAGGGTTGCCGTCTTGGTCGATGTTTCGACGTGGTTTTTTCAGTCACATGTGCTTGCCTTTCCAGTTTTCCATATCGATGTGTGGCGCTTTGTTTCCTAGCTGCTGGGGGGGCAGGCCAGGGGGCTACGTAACTGGTTGGTGGTTGGCACTATATGCCACTATGGTCTATGGATGGATGGGGGTGAGTAACTGCCGCTGCCTGCCAGCCAGCCAGCCAGCCAGAGTGCGTCGTCGTGATGAGCGTGCTTGTGTGATCTGAAATTCTGAATTATCATGGAGGGATTGGATGGCCGCAGCCTGGTGCCTGGTGCGTGCTCCCACAGTCCCAGTGGCGCCCCGCCGACGACCGCCGTTCCGGATCCCCGGGCGTGTGTAGTGTAGGCGTGGCCCGTTCGGCTCGTCGAAACTTGGCTGAAAAATCGCTGAAATATTGTGAGAAAAATACTGTTTCGGTTGAAAAAAGAAGTCTGACAAATCGGTTTAAGGTAAGTCGAACGGGGCTTTATGCTAGGATATTGCTAGCTAGGCATGCACCTTGTGCATCATGCGCGCGCAGGGCAGGGAAGGGCATGACGGCATGTAGCTAGCTCCGCGGCTCGGCGCGATCGATGCTCTCTCTGTGCATGCGCTGTAGCTGCATATGAGCTTGTCGCGGTGATCTCTGCAGCTGGAGCTGGGAGCAGCCTCTCAGCCACTGATTAGACCGTCGTCGTGTGTTACGTACTGCAAATTTAAGTGTGGGGACGTACGTACTACTAGCTAAGCTAGCTTAATTACATTGCTACTAGCTAGCTGCACGTAACGGCCTCTTGGCATGGTTTATGTCGACTTCGGCTTTATTTATTTTGCGTAAATCGATGCACTGTAGCGTGAAGTCGTTTTGTAAGTCGGGGTTAAAATAAACTAGAAGAAAAAAAAACAGTTTTTCTGGCTTCACTGGCTTTGGCTTCACCGGTGAAGCCATTTTGGATGACCGTGCCAAAAGGGATTAAGTGTGCCTGCCTGCCTGCTTCCGAGTGTTGATTTAACCATATGCAGTAGTAGTAGTATACTATGTTAACCTGTTCAGCTGGCCTCACGCTCAGGCGTCAGTGATGTGAAGCAAGGTTAGCTGTAGCTCCGTATGAGGCTAGCTGTCGAGCTCTGGTTTATACGGCTTAGCTTGCTTGCTTTTGAATAACCGATCTCGAGTTCTAGCTACTAATAAGCATCTGCTGCTGAGTGCGTGGACACACGTGAGTGGGCAACGTTAATGTTTCTGGGCACACGTGTCAGTGACGGGTGCGCGGCATGATAAGGTTGCGAGGCAGACTGCGGTCAGCACAGTGACCCAGCTGCTGCATATATGCCGAGTCCAGTAGAGGAGAAGAGAGAGGGGAGGAGGATGAGGCCAACACCGTGCTGGAGGCGCTGTCGGTTGTTCTCTGTGCCTTATTGGAGCCGTCATGTTGAGCTGATTGGGTGCATTGAGTAGCAGCAGCAGGCAGCAGCGGCTCCTCCTCCGACCCTAAACACATGTGCCCTTGTCCTGTTTAATTTGGACGTTGGCAGTCCCAATGCTAAACTACACGTAGTTTTTATACTTATTAATTTTCGTAAACACTACGTATAGAATCCATAGTTCCGATGGGTAGTTTTTATAGAACAATTTTTATCCAATCACATACATTCTTTCTCCATTCTCTGTCAATCACATCCCTTCATGTCTTGGTTCTTATGTAGACATAGTTTCTAACTTAAACCTGGTTTTTATGATTTTTACTCTCTCTTCAATAAATATCTTGCCGCATCAGCAAAACGCTTATATGGTAATATAATTAATGTACATAGAAATTATGATGATTTTGCATTGGCAGTGCTATGAGAGGGCTCTGGCCGAGATATCGACCGGACTACACGCAAACGTACATGCGTCAACACAGGCCGGCTTAGCAGTAGCACCAGTACTATTGTTGTTTTCCTATTACATACCCGTGTCTACCTAAGCTAGCTCCTTATTACAACATACGTACTAGCTAGTCTAGTGTCCACAAAAAACGTTCATGCATGCGTGAACACAGGCTTAGAGAGAGAGAGAGAGAGAGAGAGAGAGAGAGAGAGAGAGAGAGAAGAGAGAGCCTGGTTCTCAGCAGGTAGGGAAACATATGTTTTTGGTGGACGCAATGCAAAGCAAATGCAAGTCATTTCAGGCTCCGCTCCTTCCCGTGTGTGTCTAGTAGTAGTTGTCTCCGGACGGTCTGGTCCGGCTTTATCACTCTGTTGCCCACTTCAAAAGCCAAGGTAAACACGGAGATGACGGGGAAACAGCAGAGAGAAAAAAGTTGATAGATACCCAGATTAATATCTTCTATATGCATGACTGTTCATGATTAGTAGTAGCTAGGGGCATGCGAAAGCATTTTGTGGTGAATGCACCGTACCTCTAGGCTCTAGTAGTGGAACCTGCGTGCTTACCTCATTGCCTCGTCATTTTTGCTGCAATATCATTATAGATAGCATACATGTATTTCAGCGATGTATCAATAGTTTACTAGCTACATGTACTGATGAGGGCTAAGCTTTTTGAAACGAGCTCTCGTCTTGACTTCGCTTTGTCAGAGCTGCGCGCATTTTTCTTTTCGAAAGGCGCAGCTAGCTGTATGCGTGCTTGTCGAGGTGACAGCAAAATCATAAGCAATTCATAGGGATCATGATCAGCGTAAAGTAGCAGCAACTAACTGTAACGCCACAGCCCGTAATGACGGCTAATATCTACTCTACACGTTGAATAGACTACACCTGCTAATTACCTCTCCCGCGCTTTCATCATCGGTTCGCGCAAAATGTTCGAACCGGTGGTAATTCCCTCCCAAACACATGTTTTTAGCTGCAGTGTTCCGCTGCTACATTAACCGGCAACCTAACTACAATGTTCGGCCATTCGGCCCAGCCCATCAGACCGGCCCAACTTGACCCATTTTAGCAGGGTCTCACATACACCCACCCTTAAGGACTCGACGTCCTCATCGAGAGTCGAACCAACCTACCTAAACGGGATAGATGTCCAGGATCAACTCTCTTGACCTACGTCCATATTCCCAGCTCCCCAGCCCAAGTGTGTCATGCTCTTGCAGGGCCATGCGCAACCTGTCCAAGCTCCCGAGCCATACGTCCGTGAAACCGCGAGAGTTGGCTCTCATACCATTTGTAACGCCCCAGCCCGTGAAGACGACTACTCTACACGTTGAATGGACCACGCCTGCTAATTAACTCTCTTGCGCTTTTATCCTCGCTTCGCGCAAAAGGTTCAAACCAGAGTTAATTTCCTCCCAGACTCAAGATTTTTAAGTTGGTTCAGTTTCCCAAGGACTAAAGTCCCGTAGTTACAGTGTTCCCCTGCTACAGTACCGTCAGCCGGATCCATTCGGCCCAGCAGCCCCACTTGGCCCATTTTAGCGGGGTCTCACACTAACTCATCGCATTGCATCGGTTTCTTCACTAGGAGTAGTCGCTACTCGCTACACAGACGACGGACAGATCCTTCTTTGCTACCACTCACATTCTTGCATAATTTATTCGCAGGAGGGATCTGCTGCTGCTTGCAATGCGACGGGCCGGGAGGACTCGATATAGCTAGGACCTCCTCCCCTCTTTATCACTTTATATGGCTGGAATGAAGCAGTCTTCGGCACGGCCTCAAAACACCAGCAGCTTTTGTGCGATCAGATTTTGAGCATAGTGTGGTGTCTGTGCGATAGATGCACATTACTTGCTTTTTCGCTCGCAGTGCATGCTTATAATTCTTTTGCTCTCCCCCTTCCCTCCCTCTGTAGCCCCTTTTTCAGAAAGGTTTTTGTGTCTCTACTTTCATCCTCGCCTGTCGCACTCATCCTGCCCTCGCTCGATCTCCTTTCTGCTCCTCGAGATTGACTGCGCCATGATTTACATTTGATGGACCGATGATCGATGCATGGTTTCTGCTCAACGCTCATTGCAGAATTCTACCACTACTACTCCTTCAAATCATCATCATTTCAGCTTACCTTGTTTTTGTTTTGGACTTATAGCAAACGACATAAAACATGTGGTAAGTTTGAATGTGGAGGAGGAATGCCGGTACGATACATCGATCGACTAACTAAATTATTGCTGCTGATTGAAGAACAACGAACGAAGGTCTGCAGTAATGCATGGTAGTACCAAACCAGATGGTATTATAATGAGTAGAAGGCTCTAATGGTTTTTAATTAGATTTCAGTGGTCCATGTCGCTTTGACGTTTAGTGCGCCGTTGATACTCTACAAATAGAGAGCTTAAATTATGTGAAGAATATTATTAGGGGCCATGCATAACATAAGATATGTTTGCTTACGCATGCACTCATACCCAGAGAAGAATCTTGACCCCTGCGTGGGACAGACATATATATATTTGCCAATTGCAACTGATGATCATGCAGTAGATAGAATATCTTAATTAAGCTTGTAGATGGAATTATATTAATTAGACAATCTACAAATTAAAAAGAACAACCGCAATATATTGCACATCACTCTCTTTCTACTACAGGGTCCATCAATCGATAAAAAGTCCTTTCTTGAACTGAAAAATTCTTTTATTTGATTTCTCTCTTTAAGAAGTAAAAAAACATCAAAGCTAGCTTTGTACAATCAAAGGCACTTGAGTTCAGCAGATGCAAACTACTGTATGTATTAAATCTGAGCCAATTACATGGATATGATGTTTTTAAAATTGCGAAGATAATGGCTTCCAACTAAAGCTTCCTTCCATGAAAACTAATCATTACCCCCCAGATCATGAATATGTCCTTAATCAACTTTTTAAAAGAAGAAACAGTGCAAGCTAATCCAGCTGGATCAGCAATAAGTGGGCTTAACCTTTTTGCTAACACCCCATCTTAATCAGTCCTTTATGAATTATATTGGCCTCTTGCATATGTCTTTTTCTTTGAAAAACAGACCCCATGCATGCACATGTGACTTTAGTCAAATCTGCTGTACATTGCAGGATCAATATATATGCATCAGCATAGTTTTTTTAGAGAGAGAGAGAGAGAGAGAGAGGGAGAGTAAATTTCACAAACCCAGCAACACTTTGGGGGCTAATAATCACAAACCCATCAACTGTTATGCCCATTTCACAAACCCATCAATACCCAGGGCTGTTGTCCAGAAACTCATCATTTTTTAGAGAAAAGATTTCTCCCGCTTTATTATTAACAAAGCATAAAAAGTCATCATTTTTTGAAATATAATAACTGTCATTTTAAGAGTGTAGCATCGAATGATCATGTGTACATCAGCTCAATGCAAGGTGATGCAGCATGTTTATATATTTTAGAACAGGACACGACGGCAGCTCATGAAGCTATGACGAAGCATGAGAGGCCACCAGATGGGCGACATGCACCTGCCGTGCATGGGTCACTCGAGCCGTCACAAGGTTACGTTTATAAGACGGGGGTAAAGGCTTAATTTGCTCGGCCGTGCTGGGTCGTACGCACGTCGCGCAATTAACAAAAGCGGCATGATTACCCCGCCCCCCTTTGCCGAGTTTGGAACGCGATGATTAGCAGCAAAAGCAAAAGACGAGAGAGTGCATGGTTTGTGCCGCCCGGCCTGGCGCGAACGCGCGATACATCCATCCATCTCGATCGACCAGGCAGCGAGCTAGTAGTAGCTGGAGGGAGATTCATGCATGCACGTTGCACGGCCGAGGAGGATGCCTCTTCTTCCCCTGCCATATCTGGATTCAATTTGCCTTGCTGCCGTCGTTGTTCATTCATCACCACCATGCCGCCCGGTAGGGTCTCGGCCGACCGGCATATATACAAATCTAGCTACATGCGCTACGTCACTCTCGGTCACGTCCATCGAGATCACGCATACTATACAAATCTACATCGAGCGAGATGGTAGGTAGAGACGTCGCGGTCGACCGTACCCAACCGGGGACGTAGCTAGACTGCAGGTTTTGGGATTATTGGGATGGCGGCCACGGCCAACAACGACAGGACGGGGCTGGCTGGGCGCGAGGCATTTGAGGCCATCGGCAGATTTGACGAACAGTTCCCGGACGGGAGGACCAACCAGACCGCGCTGCCGTGCTCGTCCTCGCGAAACCTCGATCTCCTCCCGCCCGCGTACAAGCCACTCCGGCCGGCACGCATGCGCTCATCATTCCGTCTGATGTGCTACCTCCCCACCTGGGGATTGGGGTCTCGCCTCGCCCGGCCCCGGCGGCCTCCGTCCGCGTCCGGCCCGCGGGCGCGCCTCGGGGTTCGTCCCATCCGCCGCGCCTGCCTGCTTTGTAATCGTACGTGCCCCGCGAGAGAACGAACGAGGCTGTTGCTGTTGCTGTTGGGCCGAGGCGCCCGCCCGTGCGGAACCCGGCTTTTGCGCGAAAGCTCTGGCGAGTCGTTTACCGCGGCCCGCCGGGAGCGGGTCGGGGGCCGGGGGCGCCGGTCGCTGTCGCTCCATCGATCCTGCGAATCCGCTTCTGTTCGGTAGCGTTGGGTTGGGTGACCAAATCCTCTCCCGGCCGGCGCTACGGAGCTTTTTACCTGTACAGCTCTGGAAAATATATCTCTTTTTTGCATGGCTCTTTTTTATTTGAATTTACTTATATGGCCTTAAAACGAAATTCTCTTTCTTCTATGGCCTTCCGTCCATTTTTGCCACTTGACGGTGTTAAGTCAAAGGTAAAATGATCATTTTACCCCTAACAAAAAAATGCAGAGTTTTGTATTTGGAGTAATATTACGCAAATAAGTTTACATATAATCAAGTACACAAATATATTGCAATATATATTTGTGTAGTTGATTATGTGTCTTGTTACGTACAGTTATGCGTGAACTTATTTGCGTACATAAAATACAAAACTATTTATTTTATTTTTTCGCTAAGGGTAAAATGGTCATTTTACCCTTGACTTAACACCGTCAAAGTGGCAAAAACGGACGGAAGACCATAGAAGGAAGAAAATTTCGTTTTGAGGTCATACAAGTAAAAGAAATTTCGTTTTGAGGCCATACGAGTAATTTCAAATATAAAATGGCGATATAAGAAAGAGGTATTTTTTCTAGGAAAACTCCTTTACTATATGATGAGTCAAGTAGTCAACGTGTTGGATCAGCAGATCGTGTACTTTACTATATGACTTTATTGTTTTTCTCGACTCTGCTGTTCGAGAAAAATTTCTCCTTCTGTGATGATATACCTTGTGGAGGTCAATTCCAAGAGAATAGAGATTGAGTTTTCTTTATACGACTTTATTTATATGTTTGGGGTTGCATTGAAGAGATTAGGCTTTTGCTGCCCACAAAATTGTGTAAATTAGCTGCTTTTGAGCTTCGCAAGGATCTTGTTGATCTTTAAAAGCCTAGGCTTACTAAGATGTGTGTTGTAAAAGCTCTTTTTCCTCTTAATGGAAAACACGCTTAAATATGGTCACGAAAAGAAACAAAAACAAAATTCTATATTCATACAGTGCGTGGCACTGAAGTTGCTCAATATACTAGAAGATAATCCGCGCGTTGTTGATGGGGGATTTCAAAGAATTTGGACTGAAATTAAGTGGATATAACGTGGATAACTTGCATTATTAAGAGATTGGAAGTTAGTGGTACGAAATGACTATTAGTGGAAGGTGATGTTGATATAGTTAATAATGGGAGATGATGTTGATGTCTTGCATATTGAGATAGAATTTATCGTAGAAAATTAAATTTCCAAGAGATATATAGATCCTTTAATCGCCTTATGCTCGGACCACCCAAAGCCTGCGTATTATTTTATGACTGTAAACATTTTTCTAATGATCTCAAATCGTTTAGATATGGATTCCTATTTTTCCTCCACACAAGGTGTTTCGATGACATCTGACGCATTATCATTGTGTAGCGGCAAGGATAATTTTTATTCATCACTTTATCTAAAAAAATATTTTACTCGTCAAATCATCTAAAGAAAGTTGTTTCGATCAGGATGAATGGATGATGGTGACTTGTTGTGGCTCCTGTATCCTACAGGCCCATTGTATCCGGCCCAATCCGGTATACTTCATGGTCTCTGCTATCACGTGACACGACCTTGGTCCACGCGTCGTAATCGGATGGATGAAGGGTGACTGGATGAGAGAGAAGAGCAGGAAACACTCTCCAGTCACGTCAGGTCGACGACGATGACACGGAAAGGTTGGTGAAGGAGCGAAGAAAACGAAAGGCGGCCTCTCACTCGCAGTCGCAGGTTCTAGACCACCAAACCCAGCGGCTCCGCTCATCTCAGGTCGGCTCTCGCATTCCTCCACAGATTTCGCAGTTTTGCTGGGCGGACTGCGGAATGGGGGGCGGATCCGGATCTTTCCTCAAGGTCCTGGTCAACAACATGGATGTTGTCGCGGGGTACGCATTCCTGATCTGAATCCCCCTTCAGATGCTTAGCTCTTGAGCTGCTCGTCTCTGCGTTTCTCGTACGATTCGTGAGCGGTGCTGCTATTTCACTCGAGATGCAGCGTTATCCTGTTCTGTCAAGTCACATAGACGGAGCGTGCTCGAATCATTGCGTGATTTGTGGACAGCGGTGCTGGGAATTTGTGGTTGCGGTGCGTATATTATGGCTGGGTTCAGGGTTTTTTCGTTCAGCAGAGGTTGTTCGTACCAGTAGTATCAGCAAACAATGGGCGAGTGATTGCGAAACTACCCAAAGACCTGATGTGGAGCTGAACATGAATAATGAAATCGTGAAATGCCATGTAACCTTCCAGATTAGGCTTCGGCATTTTGGTCCTGGAAGGAGCGTGTTAAATTTGCATAAAGGAACGAAGAAGGAACAAAATGATTATGTCCATCCACGACCAAGATTATGTGAAAAAATCGGTTAGCAAATAAGATTTGACCAAATGATGGACCCTATGATGCTGACATTCTGTCGGTGATGCCCCGTTCGGCTTACCTTATATCCGGCTTGGTCGGCTTCTTTTTTCAGCCGGAACGGTGTTTTTCTCTCGCAACATTTCAGCCAGAACAGTGTTTTTCAGCCACTTTCAGCCAAGTTTCAGCAAACCGAACGGGGCCAATCATTTTAGATTAGTGGATCTTTGCTGATGGTTTAGCAACCCTTTTAAACATAAGGATGGAATTTTAAGCTATTAGCTCCTTATGATTTTGCAGAATTACTAGCATCTTTGATCGCATATCAGTATCATAATCAGGATAGCTTCTCCTTATAGAACATGGTAATACATAAGCACGTGATGTCCAGAGAATATGCCTAACTGCCTAACTGGTGGTTGCTAAATGTCATAGCTTTTACCTGCGTGTTAGCTTTCTGTCAGTCAAGTAAAAATTAGGTGCAGTTATGGTTTTTGAACATCACTGGATGTTCAGCTGCAATTGGAAGAATTTTTAATCCTCTATTTGTTTGTCTTTGCAGGCCTGTAGTTTCACTTGCATATCCTCTGTAAGTTAATCCATTAACCTTTTAGATAAACATATAGACGCTAACTGTCTTCCATTTGATGGTTATTGTTTGTCTCCTACCTCGTTGGACGTTTTCCACAGGTATGCCTCTGTTAGAGCAATTGAAACAAAATCTGCTGTGGATGATCAGCAATGGCTCACGTACTGGGTGCTGTACTCATTTATCACTCTATTCGAGCTCACCTTTGCTCCAGTACTCGAATGGTAAAAAACAAACTTTCTGCACAAGTGCACATTTCATCTTAGCTTTAGTTTGGTGTGCATCTTGGAACTTACCATGATGGTCATATGTGGAATATTTTTTAGGGCTATAAACAACCTTGATTTCTTTGCTATTGACCTTCTCTGGTTTAGTACTGCACTTCATGATTCACCGCTATCTCATGATTTGGTTGATAAGATTCTTGGATTTGGATACATCATGAGATGAATGGAAATGATCATCACAGGCATAACTTTGCACTTTGCAGGCTCCCTTTCTGGTCTTATGCAAAACTGTTTTTCAATTGCTGGTTAGTATTGCCACAGTTCAATGGAGCTGCACATGTATATGAGCATTTTGTGAGGCCAATGATTGTAAATCAGCAAGTTGTAAACATCTGGTATATTCCAAAGAAGGATGAATCAAGTAGGCCTGATGATGTAATTTCAGCTGCATAGAGATACATTGAGCAAAATGGATCAAAAGCGTTTGAGAATCTAGTTAAAAAGGTATTATCTATTTCCTGTTAAATTTTACCATTCTCATTTGTGAAAGTGATTCTACAAGTCTACAGTGATGATTCTGCCCTAATGATTATTGATATTGCAGTGTGGTTTTTGTTATGCATACTACAGAATTTCAGTTTAACAACTGTCGTTGTCTTCTATCTAAATTTGTTTTAGTGATTTCCTACATTCTAAAAAAACTCGACAGCTGGGGAAACACTGCCTCCATGGTTTTGCACGTTTTGCACATTCTTAGGTCTTTATACCTTATTACTGAAAGGCTTATTACCAGAATGAGCTTTAAGTCGGGATGAAATAGCTGGGCTTTATCTTGCAGAAATTGTGTAAGGACTCTCTGCATCAAAGCTGAGGGCAAATGAGGGTGACCTAGAGTTTGACAGCTTGTGGTGCTCTTATGAGCTAGGTTCACTCTTGCAGCTTTTAGGCATTATTCATTAAGTTTGCTTGTTGAGCTTAACACAAAACTGAACAAAAGTTGGATTGTTGAGCTTAACGCAAAACTGAATTACGTTTTTTTTAGATGAAGGAAGTCTAAACTTCCATCCTCGCCATCAAAACTGAATAAGTTAGTTTATGAAAATCAAAGGGACTCAATCCCTTAGCAGTTAGCAGGTGCTCTTTTATCCCGTTGCCCAAAAGGTGGAAACATCATTTTACTGTTTATAGAATCACAAGGCTTTCGGCACATCCCAGTGACCTAGTCCAATTTTTATTGCAAGAAACTGTATGGCATACGGCGCATTACCTTAAATTATTTTCTACTTTGTAGCTAACATTTATCTTTGGTTTTGTTCCACAAATATTTTCTTTAAACCAAGGGATCTTAGGGACCTTCATCTAAAAAAGGGGATCTTAGAGTTCATCTGAAAAAAGGATCTTAGGAACATAAATATTCCCGTTTCACATGTTCAGTTTAAGAGTTCAAACCCAAGGCGCTCAATTCTGGAGGAGGTAGAAGTTGAAAGGAGAGCCAGGATTCAACGAGAATCTGAAGCAAGGGAGGTGAATCCTTTCTTCAATCCAGAATATCAATACTAGGTAACCCTTTTTCTTTCACTCGCCAGGTGAGCGTAGCTGCATGATTTTTGTCCGACCCCATTGATGTTTCTAAGTCTTATATGTTCCATTTTCTTGAAAAAAATATGTGTTCGTTCTGACCTTTGCAAGGTAACTCTTCTAAGTATTTGTGCTTTGATAATTTATATCAATGCAGGAATATGCTAGGATCAGTTTGGAGGAAGATGTCTGGATATTATGACTGCATTTTGCACCTACTGAATCGATAATATTGTGTAGCTGGACAACCATAGTTGGTGTAAATATGTTGTAGCGATGGAACTCCTCATATAATGTCATGTCATGAATATTCCATGTTGCTAAAAATTATGTATTTGTGACACTGGACTATAGTTTTGTGCCAAACTGGTTTCATGAAGGTAGTTGTTGATCTAGGTATTTCTTCGTCTCTTATCTGATATAGGTGTAAACCATGTGATGCCATGGGAGGTTGACTATCCGAATGTTTTTTATTAAAGCTGCCAGGAGCACTGACCGTGCACTCATGTGGATGAAGCTGTCCGAGCAGTCTGCTTACCGAGCCTCACGCTCAGTAGTCGGTCCCCTTGGTGCGACATCCAAGTGCCCCCATGGCCACTGCCAGAGCTACCGCCGAGCTACGAGCTGTTCACTATCCGAATTGTTCGAGAGGTCACAAATGAGAGCATTGCAGCGACGACCATCTGAGTTCTGAGACAAGGCTCAATAGATTGGGAGTAGGGAGAGCGTATCCTGTACTCCCTGCAGGTTTGGTACACCTGTGCATATTTTGGTTGTGATTTTGAGTGTGATTCTTGATTTTTTTTTTTGTGGTGGTGTGCGGGAGCACGGGAGCACCTGAACTTTTCTCTGGGAGTAGGTTGCAGAAATTCCTCAAGTCGTAAAGAGATTCACTGGGTAGCTGGAGAGATCAACCAATGCAGGCTTTGGTTCAACCGATATGTGTGAAATCGCAAGTTCAGTAATTCTGGTTGGAAGCGGTGGTGAATTGATAATGGAAATGGAATCATGGAAAATCTCGGTCTGTTACGACGTCGTGGCCAGCATCCGTTTTACCCAACCAATCACTCATTAAATTCAGCTCGAGGTCACGGGCGTCGTTGCACTCCATATTGTGGGCCCGCGCCCAGCGAATTTTTTTAATTTTAACATTTTTTTAAAACTAATTCTAAATCTAACACTGTTTATTTTTTATTTTTAAATCTAACACTTTTGGCCGCGCCTATTGCCATGGCGCGACGAAATGTATATGCCGCGCCAAGCATATGGCGCGGCGAGAGGACTGACGTGGCGATGACCGAGGTGTTAACCGATGACGTGGCAGAGTCTGCCACGCCACCGATCTTGGCGCGGCGATGACTCGCCATAAAGAATGGCGCGGCCAAGCAAAGCTCAGTAGTCACATCCCTTGCCAGAGCACTGTAGCCACATCCCTCCGCGAAGACTCGGTAGTTACATCCCTTGCCCGAGCACGGTAGCCACAGTGGGTAGCTCTATGCTACACCCTAGCAATCCTATGCTATGTGATGGATCTATAATTTGTTTCTCATCCGTTCTCATGTCGATAGCTCTACTGGTTGAAACTGTTTTTTATTCCTAATCTAGCTAATTTCCATGTAACAAATTATTACATCGCATTGTGTTATTTTAATAGGTATCATTAGTTTTTCCCTTTTTATTCCTAATTGTACTACTTTTCCTTTGTCGTTTTGACATCGCAGTACTTTTTTGTTAGCTAATAGATTTCGTTACCCACATACAGCAACTCTGGCCTCAGCTGCAAACATTTAAAAGTGTATGCTACAAGCATCACCTAACTTTTAAAATAAATATGATTTGATATGATTAATATATCTTAGAAAAATCATATCTTTTTTTTTCTTTGTTCTGCCACCCTTTCTTTGTTCACAAATTTCCACAATTCTCGCTCCCTTCTTTTCACTTTGTACTTTAACAAGAAAGAAATCAACAATTTTCCCTTTTATATTTGAATTGAACTCAATTAATGTATATTTCTTTTTTTATATTTTTTTTACCTGTACTAGTTTTCATATGACTGCAGTTGGGACAATCCTGCTTCCAACTTGCATTCCACCACTGTTCGTCATATGCTTCTTCACCAGTGTCACTTGCCAGCCATGCCCTTCTTATAGCTGCAATTTCAGAATTACCATTAGCTATTTTTGTTTGGTGTCGAGAAATGTGAACTCATAAAATTCCCTTGTTTTGTAGTCCATTCGTTCCAAATTATAATTCGTTTGACTTTTTTGACTCTAAATTTGACCGCTCGTTTTATTCAAAAATTTTGAGCAAATACGGTCAAATTTAAGTCATTTTTAAAAAAACTTTTATTAATAAAGCAAGCCACAACAAAAGAAGTGATATTTAACATAAATTTTTGAATAAGACGAGTAGTCAAATTTGAAGTCAAAAAAAATCAAACGAACTATAATTTAGAACGGATTTAGTAGTACCTAATGGCATCCTGTTTGCAGTTCTCTTAGTCCCACGGCGCTGTGGTGGACCGGTTCTATCCTGAGTTGCAGTATGTATCTTTCTTGCTGTATCTAGTCACATATAAATATACAGACGAACAATCCATCACTGTCAATGTTTCATAAAATATATATATAAAAACACGTTTCTTGTCGAAGGCACCTATTGTGGCTACCAGCTCACCTACTGTGGCTACAGTGCTCTAGCAAGAGATGTGCCTGCTGAGTCTTAAGAGCAATGGCCGAATGCTTCTTTAATTAATTCTCTCCATCATCCCTCTCACACGGCAGCTGGAAGGCATCGCATGCTCTGTCAGCGTCACCGCTATAATGCGATGTAATAATTTGTTACATGAAAATTAACTAGATTAGGACAAAAAAACAGTTTCAACCAGTAGAGCTATCGACATGGGAACAGACGAAAGAGAAACAAATTATAGGTACATCATGCAGCATAGGATTGCTAGGGTGTAGCACAGAGCTACCCACTGTGGCTACAGTGCTCGGGCAAGGGATGTAACTACTGAGTCTTGTAAGAAAAAAGACTCACTCGCGCGGAGGGATATGGCTACAGTGCTCTGTCAAGGGATGTGACTACTGAGTCTTTTAAGAAAAAAGCCCCGCGCGGAGGATGTGGCTACAGTGCTCTAGCAAGGATGTGACTACTGAGCTTTGCCTCGCCGCGCCATTCTCCATGGCGCGTCACTGCCGCGCCAAGATCGGTGGCGCGGCAGACCCTGCCACGTCACCGATCAGCGCCTCAGTCGTCGCTATGTCAGCCCTCTCGTCGCGCTACCATGCATAACGCGACACAGGTATTTCGCCGCGCCATGGCAATAGGCGTGGCCAAAAGTGTTAGATTTGAAAATAAAAAAAGAGACAGTGTTAGATTTAGAATTAGTTTAAAAATAATTAAAATTAAAAAAAATCCGCCCAGCACCACAAGCGCTCCTGGGCCCTGGCTCCTCACGCGGACCGCGCTCCTCCAGATCCCATCCTGCCGGCTGTTTGCTTCGGCTGTTTTCGAAAAAGGGTAATGTTAGCGCACGGACGTCCAACGGATGAATTCCGTCGGACGTTTGCCCACACATGCCTGACACACCCGCTCTGACACCTGACTTGTCCCCATCCACTCATCCTGTCCCCATCC